AAAAGATCAAATGTTAGGCCACAAAACCAATCTTAATAAATTTAGGAAATTGTTTATATTTCCCTGATGACGAGTATTTACCAAAAGGATACAAAAATACTGATTCAAAGAGGTTCATGCACCCCCATGTTTATAGCAGCATTATCAACAACAGCCAAATTATGGAGAGAGCCCAAAGGTCCATCGATTGATGAATGGATAACGAAGATGTGGTACACACACACACACACACACACACACACACACACACTGGAATATTACTCAGCCATTATAAAGAATGAACCCTTGCCATTTGCAATGATGTGGATGGAGCTAGAGTGCACTATGCTAAGTGAAATAAGTTGGTCAGAGAAAGACAAAGACTATATGATTTCATTCATATGTAGAATTTAAGAAACAAAACAGATGAACATAGGGGAATGAAAAAAAGAGAGAGAAGCAAACCATAAGACACTCCTAACTACAGAGAACAAACTGAGGGTTGATGGAGGGAGGAAGGTTCAGGATGGGCTAAATGGGCTACGTGGGTGATGAGTACTAAGGAGGTCACTTGTTGTGATGAGCACTGGGTGTTATATATAAGTGATGAATCACTGAATTCTACTCCTGAAACCAATATTACCCTATATTTTAACTTACTAGAATGTAAATAGAAACTTAAACAAACAAAATTAAGAAACTGAAATCATACCAAGCATCTCTTTCAACAACAATGGTATGAAACTTGAAATCAGTTACATGAAAATAACTGGAAAATTCACAAATAAGTGGACATTAAACAATATGCTATTGAATAATCAATAGATCAAAGAAAAATCAAAAGAGAAATAAAAAATACCTGAGACAAATGAAAATGTAAATATAGCATATCAAATTGTGTGATACAGCAAAAGCAATTCTAAGAGGGAAGTTCATAGTGATAAGTGACTACTCTACCACAAGTAACAAGAAAAGTCTCAAACAAGCAACCTAACTTTACACCTCAAGGAACTAGAGAAAAACAAACAAACAAACAAATAAACCACCAAAGCCCAAAGTTAGTAGAAGGAAAGAAGTAACAGAGTACTGCAGAAATAAATTAAGTAGAGACTAAAAACATAATAGAGATCAATGAAACTAAGAGGTGGTTCTTTGAAAGAGAAATAAAATTGACAACTCTTAAGTAGACTCATCAAGAAAAAAAGGAGGACTCAGATAAAATAAAAAATGAAAAAGAAGTTAATCTAAATACCATAGGAATATAAGGGACCATGAGACTACTATGAACAATGATATGTCAACAAATTGGACAACCTAAAAGAAATGGATACATTCCTAGAAACATACCTCCTACCAAGAATGAATCATAATAAACAGAAAATCTGAGCAGACTAATAATAATGAGATTGAATCATTAATCAAAAATATCCCAATAAACAAAATTACAGGACCAGAGAGCTTCACTGGTGAATTTTACCAAACATCCAAAGAAGAATTAATATCAATCCTTCTCAAACTCTTCCAAAAAATAGAATAATAGAGAACTCTTCCAAACCCATTTTATGAGGCCAACATTACCCTGATATTAAAACTAGACAAGTATGCCACAAATAAAGAAAATTATAGGCTAATATCCCTGATGAACATAGATGAAAAAATTCTCACAAAATATTAGCAAACAGAATTCAACAATTTATTAAAATATCATACACCATGTTCAAGTGGGATTTATTACAGGCATGTAAGGATGGTTCAATATGATATATCACATTAATGAAATGAAGGATAAAAATCATATGTTCATCTCAATAGATGCAGGAAAAGTATTTGAAAAAATTCAACATTCATATATGATAAAAGCTCTCAACAGTGTGTATAGAGGGAAAGTACCTCAACATAATAATGTCTACATATGAAATGCCCACAGCTAACATCTTACTCAATGGTGAAAAGCTGAAAGTCTTTCCTCCAAGATCAGGAATACGACAAGGATGCCCAATCCCATCACTACTATTCAACATAGTATTGGCAGTCCTAGCCAAAACAATAGGCATGAAAAAGAAAGAAAAGGCATCCAGATTGGAAAGGGATAAGTTAAACTGTCACTATTTGCAGATGACATGATTTTATATATAGAAAACCATAAAGACTCCATCAAAAAACTATTAGAACGAATTAACAAACTCAGTAAGGTTGCAGAGTACAAAATCAAGACACAAAAATCTGTTGTGTTTCTATACACTAATAGTGAACTATCAGAAAGAGAAATAAAAAAATCTTAATTATAATTGCATCAAAAGGAATAAAATTCCTAGGAATAAATTTAACCAAGGAGGTGAAACACATGTATATTGAAAACTTAAGACATTAATAAAAGAAATTGAAGACACAAATGGAAAGATATTCTATGCTCATGGATTAGAAGAATCAATATTGTTCAAATATCCACACTACCCAAAGCAAACTATAGATACAGTGCAATCCCTATCAAAATGACATTTTTCAAAGAAATAGAAGAAATCATTCTAAAATTTGTATGGAACCACAAAAAACCTCAGTAGCCAAAACAATCTTGAGAAAGAACAACAAAGGTGGAGGCATCATGCTCCCTGATTTCAAACTATATCACAAAGCTATAGTAATTAAAACAGTAGAATATTGGCAACAAAACAGACACATAGACCAATGGAACAGTATAGAGAAACAATAATTAAACCCATACATAAATGGTCAATTAATTTATGACAAAGGAGCCAACAATATACAATGAGGAAATGACTGTCTCTCCAATAAATGGTGTTGAGAAAACTGAACAGCCATACCCAAAAGAATAAAATTTGACCACTATCTTACACTATGTTACACAATTAATTCAAAATAGATTAAAGACCTGAATATAAGATCTGAAACCATAAAACTCCTAGAAGAAAACATAGGCACTAAGCTCCTTGACATAGGTCTTTGTGATCATTTTTAAATCTGACACCAAAAGGAAAAATAAACAAGTTGAACTATAGCATACTAAAAAGCTTCTGCACAGCAAAGGAAATCATCCAGAAATGAAAAGACAATATACTGAATGGAAAAAAATATATGTAAATTGCATATCTGATAAGGGGCTAATATCCAAGATATATAAAGAACTCATACAATTCAATTGCAAGAAAATTGAAAATCCAATTAAAAAATGGGCAGAAGACCTGAATAGATATTTTTTTCAAAGAATACATATAGATGACTAACTGGTACATGAAAAGATGCTCAACATCATTAATCTTCAAGGAAATAACAAATCAAAACCATAATGAGATATCACCTCACATTTGTTAGAACAACTATCATTAAAAATATAAGCAATAACAAATGTTCATGAGGATGTGGAGAGAATGTAAACTGTTGGTGGGAATGTAAACTGTACAGCCATTATGGAAAACAGTATGGACATTCTACAAAAAATTAATCTAGCAATTCCACTTGTGAGTATTTATCTGAAGAAAATAAAAACATTGACTCGAAAAGATATATGCACCTCCACATTAATTGCAGCATTAAGGTATGGGAATAATTTAAGTGTCCATCAATGAATGAATGGATAAAGGAGATGTGATACACATACATGCACACACACATACACACATACACACACTGGAATATTATTCAGCCATAAAAAAGAATAAAATCTTGCCATTTATGATAACATGGATGGACCTCAAAAGCATTAATAGTATGTGAAATAAGCCAGACAGTGAAAGACCAATACTATATTATCTCTCTTATATGTGGAGGGAAGAAAAGAAAGAAAGAGAGAGAGAGAAGGAAGAAGAGGGAGAGAGGGAAGGAGAGAGGGAGGGGCATAGGGAGAGAGGTAAGGAGAGAAGGAAGAATAGAGGGAGGAAGAGAGGGAGGGAGAGAGGGAGGAAGACAAGAGAAGACAAGAGAAGAGAAGAGAAAGAAAGAGAAAAGAAAGAAGAAAAAAAGAAAATCAAGCTCATAGATACAGAGAACAGATTGGTGGTTGCCAGAGGTAGGGAGTGGAGGTTGGAGAAATGGGTGAAGGGGGTAAAATTTTATTTAAAAATAAAATAAATAGATAAATAAGCAAACAAATGATAGGAAGCTAAAAAAGAATCTTTGTGGGGATCCATCAGCACACAAGAGAAATAAGAGTTGAAGTAATAGGAGAACAGAATGCTAGAGAAGTCTAGGGCACAACTAAAAAATAAACTTTCTTGCTTCACAATTGTGCTTAAAGTTTATAGATACAAAGATTTGGGTTTCCACATCTTTGCAAATTTTAGTTCCTATAGGAACTCAAAAGCAGATTTGAATGCTGATATAGTCTTCCTTATTTCAGCCATCAGCATTTAAATATAGTCCTTAATAGCCTTTAATGGAAATGTGCATTTGTATGGGACATAGAGATATGAAATGGATGCATTTTTTAAATTTTATTTTATTATGTTATGTTAATCACTATACATTACATCATTAGTTTTTGATGTAGTGTTCCATGATTCATTGTTTGCATATAACACCCAGTGCTCCATTCAATACGTGCCCTCTTTAATACCCATCATCCAGACTAACCCATCCCCCCACCCCCTCCCCTCTAGAACCCTCAGTTTGTTTCTCAGAGTCCATAGTCTCTCATGGTTTGTCTCCCCCTCCAATTCCCCACCCTTCATTTCACCCTTCCTACTATCTTCTTTTTTTTTTAACATATAATGTATTATTTGTTTCAGAGGTACATGTCTGTGATTCAACAGTCTTACACAATTCACAGCGCTCACCATAGCACATACCCTCCCCAATGTCTATCATCCAGCCACCCATCCCTCCCACTTCCCACCACTCCAGTAACCCTCAGTTTGTTTCCTGAGATTAAGAATTCCTCATAGCAGTGAGATCATATGATATGTCTTTCTCTGATTGACTTATTTTGCTTAGCATAAATGCATGCATTTTTAAGTCACTTTTGAACAAATCCACTTTCATCCTGACAGTGTTTTGAAGTATCTTACCTGTTCTCCTTTATCCCCTTTCTGACCAGGTGAGCCTGGAGTTCCTGGCAATCCTGCTTCTCCCTGGGCAAAAATGAATTTTGTGTTATCAAACATTCTGTCACATTGAGCTAAAGTTTATAAATATGAAGGTCACCATAGTAGGATAAAGCTTTACTTTCCTCTGAGCTGACGTTGGTCCCTCCACTATAATGCCCTTCCCTTGCTCAGGAGGCTCAGTAATCTCCCTCTTCCAAATACCATCTCCTCCATGAGACTTTCCATGGACTGGGACACATGATGCTCCTCTATGCCCCTAGCACCTTGTACTTGCCTTTCTCGTGGAGCTTATGGTATAGTATTGGTCGCTAGAAGAAATGTAAGGTTCCTCTAAACTTTTACCTCACCCCTGTATCTACTCGTCCAGCCAGGAGTAAAGTGGTAGCTGAATGTGTTGTCTCTAACAGAATGTAGTAAGTCGCAGTACTAAGGAACATTCTGCTCTAGGAACCAGGGCCAGTTTTTTCTTTTCCTCTTTCCTTTCCTCAGGTATGGGCATAGAGGAAAACCACCATCAAGAAATCACTAAGCCTCCTTGTAGCACAGCCTCGTGACTACCATTAACATTCATAAAAGAAGTTCATGTAGGTCCATGGGACCACTCTTCCTGACCAGGGGCCATACTGGTACAAGTGAAGCAAATTCTTTAAGTAATAGTCTCTGCCTATTTCCTACAGTATCAGTACACAACAAAGAAATATTATATAGAGTACCTCTGTGTATGTGTTAAAGAGCAGGCACTGTTTTCTTCAACTGTGAATTCCCAGAACGGAAGCCTATTCCCGGCGCCTGCTAAGTACTCAATATTTGTCTGTTGGACAGGTGGATCTCCCCTTTACTTTCTATCCATTATATTTCACAGCCTGGAAAGATAATCTGATGGCTTTAGAACTATCCAGGAAAAAAATCCAGGAAATCCGATCCCCAATTCCCTTCTCTTAATCTACCCCAGTGATGGAGTGGCTTATATATTTGATTCAACTAGCACTGAAGGTCAAGACACATTCTGTGCACCAGGGCCACATCCAAGGGGCTGGGCTCAATTTGCGTAGTGGCTTTTCAGTGGGCCTAGATTGAAACTAGCAAACCTTGTCTGGAATGCACTGGCACTGGTCTTGAAGTTCCTGCTTTGCTGGGAGATAGGCAGACATTTTACTGGCGTGAGCAGGTAACAGTGATGATGCAGTATTTCCATAGCCATTCTGCTCTGGACACTAAAATCCAGAAAAATGAATACGGTCAATTCCAGACATTCTAACATCCCAAATACTGGCTTCCACCACACTAGGGATGACATAACTTGCCTGTAAGAACTGCCTTCTAATGAGCCAGAAGTTGACACTGGTCTGTGAAAGTTTATAATACCTTCGCTCTTTCACTAGGCCCCCGATGTGTTTTATTACACCGACAACATGCTAAAAATGTGCTAAAATGTTGGTTTGTTGAGGAGGCCTAAAACTATTATAAATGACTTTATAATGAGTACAGTAATATCAAACAATAACTGCCTTGTTACAATAAAATAGTTATACATATTACATCCGTGTACGCGTTTGTGGAACAAAAATTTAAAATAAAAACAAGCAACGTGAACTTTTAGAAACTTGTTTACTCCAAGATGATTGTAAAGGCATGTAAAAGTAGAAAATAAATTCTTTTTACACTCTAGGATGATATAGATTTAATTAAAGTATATATTAGTCTTGGTCTTTAAAGTCCATTGTCCTTTAAAGTTATTAAAATGTCTCCATTGTAAAAGACAAGCGGTGAATTTTATACTTAAGCAGTGGGTTCAGAACATGTGGGATAACATGAAGTGAAACTTAGTTACAAAGCAATGAACTTTTTTTTCTCTGAAAAATAAATCCAGACTGGGAGGATAAATAAATGCATCCCTTCCTCTCCACATCATTTACCAGGCTCCTCACACTGGTCTGTAACTGTGAATTTGTAATTTTATAAATTTGCAGTTTTGTAACTCTGAATTTTCAATTTAGGGGAAAGAGTTCAGACATTACTTTGTATGCTACAAATCATATAGGCTTGGAAAAGTATTGTCAGGATACAAAACTAAAAGATTGTCAGTGGTTATTTATTATGGTGAGACTACCATTGATAATTACTTCCTTCTTTGAATTTGGCTGTATTTTCCAAGTTTTCTATAATAGACATATGTAATTTTCTTTAAAGATTTTATTTATTTATTTGACAGAGAGAGAGCACAAGCAGGGGGAGCAGCAGAGGGAGAGGGAGAAGCATGCTCCTCGCCGAGCAGAGAGCTCGACGTGGGGCTTGATCCCAGGACCCTGGGATCATGACCTGAGCCGAAAGCAGACGCTTAACTGACTGAGCCACCCAGGCACCCCAACATACATAATTTTTAAAACAAAAAACTCTTTTGAAAAAAATGGGTAGCACTCTAATGCTTGTGAAAACAACAAAAACTGTAAGAAAAATAACACCCAGAAGCACTGGGACTAGTTTTCTGTGTCCACCCCTAGGTCTATCACATTTACTCTCTCCAGATTTAATAATTAGCTATTCTGTTATCTTAGTAAATTTCCAAGTCCACAAGTCTAAAAGTCATATTAGAACGAAACATGATTATCAACAGAATAGTCCATTTATTTCATATGATTTGATATGATTTTCCAGAGACTTCCTGCTCTACCAGTTACCACTTAGATGACCAAGACCCAATTTCAGTTCATAATTTTGGTCTGGATAAATAATTTACTATATTAAATTGGGGATTTAAATGACTTTAAAAGTATGTATCAGGATTCACTATAAAACTTTCCACACTCTCCAAAAAGTGCCTAAAGGGAACATAAAAATGTACAAAGTAAGGACTCTTCCCTTCATAAAACCTCTGGTTTTGATTTGACGCATATTTAGTTAATTGGCCCTACAAATTTTAATCACATTTCTCATTTATTTTCAACAAATGTTGCTGATTTTCTTCTTCTGTCTATGTCTGTAGTCACGAAACTTTACAGAAATAGAAAATCTAATTAATAGAAGAAAGGAAGTATATTTCATATGATCTTGAATGAATTTCACCCTTGACCATGCTATAAAATATTAATTACAAAAAGCATGTCTAATTTGAAATTCCAGGATAAAATTAAATTTTTAAACAAGCACATTAAAATTTTCTGAATTCAACACTCTTTCAAAAAAAAGTTGGTGTCAGAATTATAACAGATGCACTTAAATGGTTTTTATATAATTATTTATCTTTCAAACTATACACTTCCATTTGTAAAATGTACCATGTTTCTATTTTCTGCTACTCATTAACAGAATGGTGATGTCCCTTCAAATAATTATCAGCAGGAAAATAAGCAGGCTTTTGTTATTTTTTCCTATAGTCAAAGATGAATTCCTACCTTATTTTCCACAATTTTACTCCTAAACAATCTTTTTAAGATATGATTAATTTTTCTTCCATAATTTGTGAGGTTATGTTATTGCTTTTAATAATCCAACCACTCCGTCAAATCTATCACTTACACTTCCTTAAATGGTTTTCTCATAACTTGAATTGAAAATATCTATTATGTGATGATACAGAGTAAAAACTACTGGTCAAAAATACAGTATTTAGATATATCAAAACGTTGTTATGTTACTTTCAACCAGGAAAAGTTATTATTTTAAGAGCTCTTACATCCTAAGGGAATAATTAATTTAAAAAATAAACTTTTGGAGAATTAACATTTTCAAAATTTAAATATGTGGCTCCAGGAAGTCTAGGTATTTCAAGTCTGTAGATTGGCATTATAAATTATCTTTTTAGATATTTATAGAAAGATATTTGGCTGGCTTTCATTTTACTTGGAATGAGAGCCATAAACTGGGTTGGCGATATGCTTTATAAAACCAAGTTACATAAGCAAAACAAATAATTTTGAAAAACTTAGCTATGCTTTAAATCAGTCACATTATTATTCTACTACCCACAGTGAGTGACAGAAGTTAAAAATATTTTTGAATTACTGAACTATCAATAAAATTTTCATATTGGATGGCAAGTATAGAACTTCTGGGAAATCTAAAATGCAAAGAAAAACATTTTCACCTTTTACTTTTACTTTTCATATGTTCTTTCTGTAAGATTTTATCGAGTTAGTCCCTTTTAAACACCGTTTTGTACCATCTACCTCCTTTAATAGTTGATAAGTCAACAAGTCAAGAAACAATGTTTTAACTCTCTTCTACAAACAAAGCACTAGGAATTAAAAAGAAGAGCATGAAAGTATAACTCCCCTCAATGAGTTTAAAATGCAGTTGAATAAATTAAAAACAAATACAACTATATCTAATAATATAAGATAGCACACATGACCATTATAATGAGAGATAAAAAAAGTACTGAATTTTTTTAAATGGAAGATTGGTATAAGAAAGCAACAGTTGGACAGTTAGGTTGGGAATTTTTTTTTTTTTAAAGATTTTATTTATTTATTTGACAGAGAGAGACACAGCGAGAGAGGGAACACAAGCAGGGGGAATGGGAGAGGGAGAAGCAGGCTCCCCGCAGAGCAGGGAGCCCGATGCGGGACTCGATCCCAGGACCCTGGGATCATGACCTGAGCTGAAGGCAGTCGCTTAACCAACTGAGCCACCCAGGCGCCCTAGGTTGGGAATATTAAGAATGGAAGCTAAGTAATTGAGTTTATGTTTTGTTGCCAAAAGGGAATGACCAAAGGCTTTGAGAAAGAGATGAATAGAAGCAGGGAACATGCCTTATTCATGTCTGTTATTGCCTTGTTCTTTAGCACAATGTCTAGAAGATCAATGTTTTTGAATAATTAATGTTTAGTGAGAAAAAATAAATGCATATACAAAGCAATGATTCAGAGACTTACTCTGGTTACGCTGGAAAGAAAAAGGTCTAGAGACGGGGAAGGCAGTTGACATGATAATGCAACAATCCAGGCATGAGATAAAGGTGGACCAGGTCAGCAACAGGGAAAAGGAAGATGAAAAATCTATCAGAGGGTGCCTGGGTGGCTCAGTTGGTTAAACGTCTGCCTTTGGCTCAGGTCATGATCCCAGGGTCCTGGGATCAAGCTCCGCATCGGGCTCCCTGCTCAGTGCGGAGCCTGCTTGTCCCTCTCCCTCTGCCCCTCCCCTTTGTGTATTCTCTCTCTCTCTCTCAAATAAAGTCTTTAAAAAAAAAACCTATCACAAAAGAAAACTATCCAGGATGGAGAAGAGGAAAATGAGTAAGAATAAGGTATGATCACAGATTTAAAAATCTCTGCAGCTGGAAAATAATGACGCTACTGTCAGACACAGTTTAGGGAGAAAGTCATAAATTCTCTCTTATTTATGCTGAGTCCAAAGTAAGGACATACCATTCCCAAAGTTCAACACAAAACACTGGGATTCAAATTGTGTAAAGAAACTATGTGAGGGGGCGCCTGGGTGGCTCAGTTGGTTAAGCCACTGCCTTCGGCTCAGGTCATGATCCTGGAGTCCCGGGATCGAGTCCCACATCGGGCTCCCTGCTCGGCGGGAAGTCTGCTTCTCCCTCTGACCCTCCCCCCTCTCATGTGCTTTCTCTCTCTCATTCTCTCTCTCTCTCAAATAAATAAATAAAATCTTTAAAAAAATAAAAAAAAATAAAAAAAAAAGAAACTATGTGAGAGCACTATGAGGGGTCTCTTACTTGGAACAAATTACTCACCTGGCTTCACAGAAGATATTCAGTGCTATCCTACATTTGCATTCTACGGACTAGGCAACTGGCATTCTATATTCTTCACAAGCTGAAAAAATTAACTTACCTTAGTATCTGATATTTCGCAACATGTTTCTTGAGCTAGGAAGTTTGAGTTACAGTAGATTTTAAATTGGCGAAGTTCAATCTATTAAAAAAGTAGTAATAAGACACATCATTAGTATTCTTGAAAGTCACATTTAGGCACTTAAGAACTGTGGTAATTTAACTGGAAAGATAAAAGAAGCTAATACAAATAAATTATTGGTAGATATTTTAATGGTTTTATTTAATTTAGGATTCATGATTTTATGGACCATTTGAAAAAGAGACATGGATTCAATTATTAAGATAGATCTCTAGATAAAGGAAATCAGGTAATGAAAGCAACTGCAAATCTTCGCTACTTGATTCATACAAAAAAGAAGTATTTAATTAAAGAGAGGTATTGTTACACATTACAAGAAAGTATGTCCACAAAATGAGAAATATTTCAAAGTAAAAAACTGTGGAGAAAAAGTAAAGTCAAAGGTATGAACACACGATGGAAAAGGCTTTCCCAGTAGTTCCAGAGCTCTTATTTGAGGCACTGAAACAGATGCTCACTTCTCAATAAAAGGGAAAAAAAAGTATTTAGTTTTCATCTATATTTCATGGATTCTGTCAGATTATCTATGGATTTTATACTATATTGGGATAACCCTGAGCAATACTCACAATCTTTTTACAAAAATAATCAATTCCTTCTATTTGCTTAGCAGATTCATATTTTTTGGCATTGGACGTGAAATAAAAAGTAGTTCAAAAAAGTACAATCATGCCGTTAAATGCAAGATCAAGCAACCATGTGAGAAATAAATACTACAGACCATTTAAAAAAATTAAATAGGATATATGTGTAAATTGGCTATTTTAAGTTACTTTATGGTTGCAAATTTAATAATTTAATTAATTCATCATACAATGATGTCACATATCACATAGGTCAGGAACAACCTCTTCTCTCTCCCCTCTCCTCCTCCTGCCTGCCCTTCTCTCTTTGCCTCTCTCCACCTCTTCCTCTGTCTCCCAGTATTACAGAGCTAGATAATGTATTACTTTGATGTCAATAAGTATGTTCTATAGAAAGATCCAACTGTTGTATTACAATAATTAATCCTACCATAATGGAAAGCAGATATCTTCAGTGAATTCTGAAACTCTACCCACCTCCAAAAAAAGCAAAAAAGGCAAAAAAAAAAAAAAAAAAGGCTGTAACTATTACTCTACAGTGTACTGAGATGAACAAAATCAATTCGGCTCATAGAAAGCGTTAAGAAATCCAGACATCTTCTGAATTCATGAGCAGCCTAAGATTTGCAGCCAATGTGAAATTATGAGATAAAATGAAATTTATTTTCTATAACTTTTTGCAAGGTATTGAAGTTAACTTTTGTTTATAAAATTTAAATACACTGTCCTACATAGTCGAATGCAACACCACGTAGTAACATATCCATTATGTAGAATGAAGAATGGGGACTCCAATTAATGAATATTCTTCTTAACGAAAACTAATTTAACATCATCGTTACCAAAATAGCCAGTAAATATTAAAATTTGATTACGTACCATCCATTGTACTAGGCCCTTTATTTGAATTATTTTAGTTAACTGAAGATAGATGATCAATTTTTGATGGATTAGCAACTAATCAAGTACCATGACATTGAAACTACAATCCTAGTTTAATGATGCTTTCTTATTCATTAGTTACTCTGGAATCCTTCACTGACACAGTGCTTTATGAGGACAATGTTTAGGGCTAAGTCTATACTGGCTCTTGTCATACAGAATTTGTTTAAAAAAATCCTTTATATCAGTTTTGTCACCTATTTCTTTCTCACAAAAGTAACTAGGTAGTATACATAAAATAAATTATTAGAATTTTTTTCAATAACATACATCCAGAGTAAATAAAACATTTTCGCATTACAACAGATCTTATGAATCATAGAGCTTGCATGGAGATGATAAAAAATTAGTCTACTTAAACTTTTAGTAGGACCAAGAATCTTTATAGAATAAAATATGTATTTTATTTGCTTAATTCAAACACTATCTCATAAATAAGCTGCATCATAATATGGCTTTAATTTTTTTAATTTTTGTCTTTTTTTCATTTATTTTTTTAAAATTTAATTCTAGTATAGTTAACATACAGTGTTGTATTAGTTTCAGATGTACAATATAGTAATTCAACAATTCTATACCTTACTCAATGTTCATCATGATAAATGTACTATTAATGCCCTTCACCTATTTCACTTATCACCAACCCACCTCGCCTCTGATAACTATCTGTTTCTTCTCTATAGTTAAGAGTCCGTTTCTTAGTTTGTCTCTTTTTTTCTTTATTTGTTTTGTTTCTTAAATTTTACATATGAGTAAGATCATATGGTATTTGTCTTCCTCTGACTGACTTATTCCACTTGGCATTATACTCTCTAGATCCATCCATGTTGTAGTGAATGCCAAGATTTCATTCTTTTTTATGGCTGAGTAATATTTCATTATATATATAGTTCCTATATAATATATGTATATTATATATAAATATAATTTATAATATATACTATATATTATAAAATAATTATATATATTATATATTAGTTACATACATATATATTAGTTCCTTTAATTTTTTAAAGAACCTCCATACTGTTTTCCTCAGTGGCTGCATGAGTTTGCATTTCCACCAACAGTGTACAGGGGTTCCTTTTTCTTGGCATCCTCACCAACACATGTGGTTTCTTGTGTTTTTTTAATTTAGTGATTCTGACAGGTGTGAAGTGATATCGCACTGTGGTTTTGATTTGCATTTCCCTGATGATGAGTGCTGTTGAGCAAATTTTCATGTGTCTGTTGGCCATCTGTATGTCTTCTTTGGAGAAAAGTCTGTTCATGTCTTCTGCCCATTTTTTTTAAATTGGATTATTTGGTTTTTGGGTGTTGAGTCTGATAAGTTCTTTATACATTTTGGATACTAACCCTTTATCAGATATGTCATTTGCAAATATCTACTCACATTTAGTAGGCTGTCTTTGAGTTTTGTTGATGGTTTCCTTTGCTGTGCAAAAGCTTTTTTTTTTTTTTTTTTTTTTTTTTTTTATGAAATCCCAATAGTTTATTTTTGCTCCTGTTTCTCTCTCCTCAGAAGACCTATCTAGAAAAAAGTTGCTACAGAAGAAGAAATTACTGCCTGTGCTCTCTTCTAGGATTTTTATTGTTTCAGGTCTCACATTTAGATCCTAATCCATTTTTAGCTTATTTTTATGTATGGTTTAAGAAAGTGGTTCAATTTCATTCTTTTGCCTGTGGCTGTCCAGTTTTCCCAATACCATTTGTTGAAGAGGTTGTCTTTTTCTCATTGTATATTCTTGCCTCTTTGTTGAAGATTAATTGCCCATAAAACTGTGGGTTTATTTCTGGGCTTTCTATTCTATTCTATTGATCTATGTCTCTGTTTTTGTGCCAGTACCAAACTTTTTTTATTACTACAGCTTTGTAGTATATCTTGAAACCTGGGATTGTGATAACCTCCAGTTTTGTTCTTCTTTTTCAGGATTGTTTTGGGTAGTCAGGGACTTTTGTGTTTCCACACAAATTTTAAGATTATTTGTTCTAGTTCTGTTAAAAATGTTATTGGTATTTTGACAGGGATTGCATTAAATCTGCAGATTGCTTTCGGTAGTATGGAAATTTTAAAAATATGTGTTCTCCCAATCCATGACCATGGAATATCTTTCCATTCATTTGGATCATCTTCAATTTCTTTCATCAATGTTTTATAGTCTTCAGAGTTCAGGTCTTTCACCTTCTTGCTTAAGTTGATTCCTAGGAATTTTATTATTTTGGTGCCATTGTAAATGGGGTTGTTTTCTTAATTTCTCTGTCAGCTACTTCATTATTTACATACAGAAATGCAATGGATTTCTATATCTATTTTGTATCCTGTAACCATACTGAATTCATTTATCAGTTCTAGCAGATTCTTGGTGGAGTGGTTGGGGTTTTCTATATGGAGTATCATGTCATCTGCAAATACTGAATGTTTTACTTCTTCCTTACCAATTTGGATGCCTTTTATTCTTTTTTCTTGTCTGATTGCTGTGGCTAGGACTTCCAGAACTATGTTGATAAAAGTGGTGAGAGTAGACAGCCTTGTGTTGTTCCTGAGATTAGAGGAAAAGCTCTCAGTTTTTCACCATTAAGCATGAAGTACAAGGTGAGTTTGTCATATATGGCCTTTATTATGTTGAGGTATGTTCCTTCTAAACGTACTTTGTTGAGGGTTTTTATCATGAACGGATGTTGTACTTTGCCAAATGCTTTTTCTGCATCTATTAAAATGATCATGTTTTTTATCCTTTCTATTGTTGATGTGATGTATCACATTGATTGATTTGCAAATATTGAACCACCCTTGTATCCCAGGGATAAATCCCACTTGATTGTGGTGAATGATTTTGAGGATTTTTCTATTTATGTTCATCAGAGATATTGGCCTGTAGTTCTCTTTTTTTAAATTTTTTAAATTTAAATTCAATTAGCCAACATATGTACATCATTAGTTTTTGATGTAGTGTTCAATGATTCATTAGTTGCATATAACACCCAGTGCTCATCACATCATGTGCCCTCCTTAATGCCTATCACCCACTTACCCCATCCCCCCCACCTCCCTTTCTGCAACCCTCAGTTTGTTTCCCTCTCTGATTTCTTCCCATTCAGTTTTCCCTCCCTTCCCCTATGATCCTCCGTGCTATTCCTTATATTCCACATACGAGTGAAACCATATGAAAATTGTCTTTCTCTGATTGACTTATTTCACTTAGCATAATACCCTCCAGTTTCATCCATGTTGAGGTAAATGGTAGGTATTCATCCTTTCTGATGGCTGAGTAATATTCCATTGTATATATGAACCACATCTTTATCCATTCATCTGTTGAAGGACATCTTAGCTCCCTCCACAGTTTGGCTATTGTGGACATTGCTGCTATGAACATTAGGATGCATGTGCCCCTTCTTTTCACTGTATCTGTATCTTTGGGGTAAATACCCAGTGGTGCAATTCCTGGGTCATAGAGTAGCTCTGTTTTTAAC